CATGGCAAGTTGGCTGTGGTGAGTTAGCTGTGGTGAGTTGGCCATGGAAAGTTGGCTGTGGAAAGTTGGCTGTGGTGAGTTGGCTGTGGCAAATAGTTATAGACCCCCAGCTGGAGCTTCTCTCATATGCTATCTAAGGCCTCTTTTTGAATACCAGCCAGGACCTCTGTGCCCCACCCAGAGTCTTTCTTTTGTACCACACACTTTCACCCACCAACCATCTTTTGCATTTTGGTTGGGTCCTTCTTTAGTGAAAGAAGGTCCTGGTTGGTGCACAAAAGAAGGACCTACCCAGTGTGAGAAAGGAGGCCCCAGATGGTCCCTAAGAGAAACCAATGCAAAAAAAAAAAAAAGGCTCTGGCCAGTACAATAGTGGTGTGATGCAGTGGGCTGTGTCAGGCGTGGGGGAAGTTGGCAGCAGCAGGTAGGCGGGCGGCAAAAAGAACAGAGATGGGGGAGAGATGTGGATAGAAGGAGTTGAAGCAGAAGCAGTCCCTTACTTTTCCCAAGAATGGCTTGCATTTCAGTGGGTGCATGTTAACAGTTGTGTGGGATTCACTGAATTACAGCAACTGGGATTGCTGGAATGGCCAGTGCTAAGCAGAGCAGTCACATGACATTTCCACCACATTGCTTAGCAACAGAGTTGTGGGTCCCAGTTTGGGTCATAATGTGAGGACAATCTGTAGCCAGACTCAAATGAAACTTTACCTACCTTTTAAGAGGTTTTTGTTGCTTTTTAATTCATGCCAGCATGAATTAAAAAAAATATCTTTGCCCTTAAATACCTTATTTTCAATATTTGATTGCTCGTAGACTAAGATAACAATTATTAAATGAAATGATAATTAATGTTTTTTTTTATTAATCAGCAATGTCTCACTCTTTTGTTTGGTGTTGGTCATCAGCGCAACATAGTGTGCTAAATTCTTAGCTCTTAGAAATCTACTTTTAATTATTAGTTGTCCAATTTTCAAACCTGAAGTAGCATGCCCTGTTTGAATTATTTATTTTTTGTTAATTGTGTCCATTTTTTTTTCTGTAGCAGATGGTACGTGAAGAGTATATTTCAGCAACACCAGGTACTGACATACGGAGACCAGATCCTCAGTATACCTACAATGTTGGCATTTATGGCTGGAGAAAACGCTGCCTTTATTTATTTCTCCTCCTCTTGATCATCATTCTAGTTGTGAATCTTGCTCTGACAATTTGGATTCTTAAAGTAATGTGGTTTTCATCAGTAAGTGTTTTTTTCCCTTTAATTGGGTTTTTGCTGTTGCTTTTGCTTATATTCTTACTGTTGCATCTAAGGTATTCTCTGCTCTGTAAAAAAAATCCTTCAATCTATTTACCCTAGGGGAGTTTTTGAAATAATTTTCAGATCCGTAGTTACGTAGTTGACATACAGGTGAAACTCGGAAAATTAGAATATCGTGCAAAAGTTCACTTATTTCAGTAATGCAACTTAAAAGGTGAACCTAATATATGAGATAGACTCATTACATGCAAAGCAAGATAGTTCGAGCCATGATGTGTCATAATTGAGATGATTATGGCTTACAGCTCATGAAAACCCCAAATCCACAATCTCAGAAAATTAGAATATTGTGAAAAAGTTCAATATTCTAGGCTCAAAGTGTCCCACTCTAATCAGCTAATTAAGCCATAACACCCACAAAGGTGCACAAGCAGCAGGGATGACCACAGCCTGGAGAGGATTGTCAGGAAAAGGCCATTCAAAAGTATTGGGGACTTTCACAAGGAGTGGACTGAGGCTGGAGTCAGTGCATCAAGAGCCACCACACACAGACGGATCCTAGACATGGGCTTCAAATGTCGTATTCCTCTTATCAAGCCACTCCTGAACAACAAACAACATCAGAAGCATCTTACCTGAGCTAAAGAAAAACAGACCTGGTCTGTTGCTCAGTGGTCCAAAGTCTTCTTTTCTGATGAGAGCAACTTTTGCATCTCATTTGGAAACCAAGGACCCAGAGTCTGGAGGAAGAATGGAGAGGCACACACTGCAAGACGCTTAAAGATCCAGTGTGAAATTTCCACAGTCTGTGTTGATTTGGGGAGCCAAGTTGTCTGCTGGTGTTGGTCCACTGTGCTTCATTAAGTCCAGGGTCAATGCAACCGTCTACCAGGAGATTTTGGAGCACTTCATGCTTCCTTCCGCGGACGAGCTTTATGGGCTTTATGAGCTTCATTTTCTATCAGGACTTGGCACCTGCCCACACTGCCAAAAGCACCAAAACCTGGTTCAATGACCATGGGATTACTGTGTTTGATTGGCCAGCAAACTCGCCTGACCTGAACCCCATAGAGAATCTATGGGGTATTGTCAAGAGAAAGATGAGAGACATGAGACCGAATAATGCAGAAGAGCTGAAGGCCACTATTGAAGCATCCTGATCTTCCGTAACACCTCAGCAGCGCCACAGGCTGATAGCTTCCATGCCACGCCACTTTGAGACAGTAGTTGCTGCAAAAGGGGCCCAAGCTAAATACTGAGTACACATGCATGCTTATACTTTTCAGAGGTCCGATATTGTTCTACGTACAATTCTTGTTTTATTGATTGCATGTAATATTCTAATTTTCTGAGATTGTGGATTTGGGGTTTTCGTGAGCTGTAAGCCATCATCACAATTATGACAAATCACTGCTTGAACTATCTTGCTTTGCACGTAATGAGTCTATCTCATATATTAGTTTCACCTTTTAAATTGCATTACTGAAATAAATGAACTTTTGCACAATATTCTAATTTTTTGAGTTTCACCTGTAGTTATTTGCAACAAATGTGATATTTCTTCCTGCTTTTATCTTATTTCAGTAGCTGAGTTTGTATATCACATCGAGTCTTTGTGTTTTTTACTTTTATTTTAGTCTCATGTATGAACCTCCCCCAGCTGTGTACTTTTCAAAATCACTGTATTGCTCATAGTCAATAATTTTGAGTTGTTAACTCGTATTAAAGAAACCATCACTTAGTATAGTATGTAATCTCAGCCAGAGGCTGCAGTCTTAAATATACTTTAGGGTAAGCCCTACTTAATGAAGTGTTAACATTCTTTGAATTGTGTTCATTGACTGGTATCGTTTGAAATTTATTCTTTAATTCTTATGTGACTTTGTCATTTCTGAGTCCATTGCTGAGATGTTGCATCTAATGAATTGCTACTAATCAAGTACTCAAATATCTAAATCCTAAATGTAAGAGATACCATGTAGATTTAGTTGCATGCCAACAATGATGAATATATGGCACCATTTCAAATAACAATAATGTATGGTTACTCCAAAAGGAGAAGAGGAGCAAATGGACAATTTCTAGCTTTGCTGTCATGTAACTTATTTTGTTTCTTTGAATTACAGCTTTTTGAAGAGGACTTATGTACACATTGCTGGTAGCTGGACTGGAGAAGAAGTCCTTGTGTACAGCATCTTTTTAAAGTGTAATTCTTCTTGGTTGGGCATGCTTGCAGATGTCTCTTATCAAAACGTTGTGTGAAAAGATATTTTTATGACCACCTTTCTCCCATCCATAATATATTTATCTTCTGAATTTCTTTTTCATCAGGGATGTCTGTCTTGAATAAACCTTAACAGTATTTGGAAACAGATCAATGTGGCATCTTTGAAAAGAATTTGACAATGACTTACACAACTAATATTTAAAATATGTTTTGCATTTGCAGGCTGGAATGGGATACCTACAGGTTAATAGTGATGGGCTTCGTCTGGAAGGAGAGTCTGAATTTTTATATCCATTATATGTCAAAGAAATTCACTCCAGAAAGGTAACAATACGATGTTATGCACAGCTATTTGGAGACAAATCCCACGGATTTTAACAAGGTTTATTTCTGAGTTAATACACATAGAAATGTGCTGTGGTTTGTCTGAAAAAAAACCCCCTCATATTTACTAGAGTTATGCAGAGCCTGTTTTGATTTGATAGAATTTCAATAAAATCGGCCCTACAAAGCAGTTTTGCTTTGAAATTGAAGCAGATATTTGATTTAAAGCAGCAATACATATCACATGACTGAAAATACTTCAGGGTGTTTACTTTGAAGTACAGCACAGATCTGATGTTTTTTCCTGCTGATTCTGGCACTGTTCCAGCAATATTCAGTTCTGTAATTTCTTTTTCCATTTCAACAAATGTTTACAAAGAATGCTAATTTTTGGATTGATTGGATGACATTAATCACCCCAACATTCAGTAACATAGCTTTTTTCATTTTGTATCATTCCTAGAGCTCTTTTGTGGCGGCAAAGTAAAACTTAACTAGTCATCATTCATCTTCTCAGTCCGCAGCTTCTTGAACATATCTAACCACAACCTTAAATTTTTGGTTTTCTGCTAGTGGAACATTACACATCTGTGCTTATCTTGCTAACACAAGTGAACATTCAACTTAGCTCTCTCAATACGGGAGAGGCAAATCAGAATGTATTCTTTGATCAAATGAACATGTATCAAACCTTAACGTTTAAATTCTGCATTGTTAGGGTACATGTATATCTATCAGTAAGAGGGCTGAATGGACACAAAGCTAAAGATTATAAGCTCTCATCCAAATTAACTATTTTTAGAAAATGCTGTTTCCTAATGCAGCTGAGATCTGCTAGTGTTGAGGGACAAGCTTCCGTCCACCTCTGTGATTGTATAATTCTGCAAGGGTCTCCTGCTTGAGCAGGGGGTTGGATTAGATGACCTCTGAGGTCCCAACTCTGTCATTCTGTAATTTGAGTCTTTCCCAGGAATGACCAAGCTTACCAACAGGGGATGTTCCAATTCTCCTGTCTTTCAAGAAAGCCCAGGGATCAAAGGCAGAAATGCATATCATACCCAGGAAAGCAATCAGTGGGCATTTTTAGTGTCATTGTAAGCCTAGCACCCCAGAATAGCAAGTGGAAAAACAAGATATTCCCCTCTGAAGATTTAAAAATGAATTTTTAAAAAATGAATTTGGAACAGGGCAGTTTCCACATTGCTTCAGCAGAATTGAAATTCTTTGTATAATCATTTGAAAAGTGCTGTGTTTTCGTATACTATCCTCAGACCTGCTATATCTTCTTCTTCTTAGCGTATTTCCACAGGTGCAGAGTCTGCTTTTCAGATCATTGAACACACTTTGCACAGTCAGCTATGTCTCCAGGGCACAGGCCTGCAGCTTGCATATTTTGATGGTGTCTTGCCATCTCTGTTTTGAACACTTGTGAGGTCACCAGCTATTGACTTCTAGTTGATAGGCAGTCTTGGCCATAGTGGAAGGTGCTTCTCTCTGGACATGTCCACACCAGTAGAGTCAACCTTCTCTCATCTTCTCTATAATTGGTGCCACACCAACATTTGGTTGAGTGATGTCATTTGTGATTTGTGGTCAAGAAGGGAGATGCCCGATATCCAATGGAGCATTCGCATTTCCATGGCAGGGAGATAGCTTTTGGTCCCTGTTGTTGCCCAGGATTTAGTGTCATACAGTGCAACAGGGCAGATGGCTGCCTTGTAAATCTTAGTTTTAAGATGGGTTGGACTGGCTACATCTGTGTGGAAAAAAAGTGCAGAGAGGTATTTCAAAAAAATATCGCAGTGAAAGTTTTGAAGATCTTCAGCTGAAGCTTAACAAGATTGTGCCTTTTAAAGGGACTCTGCTCTTCTTATCCCATTTTGCCAAAAACATTAAGCTATTATGGGCATGTTGATACTTTTCCATTACGAACTATTTTTCAAATCAAATATCAATGGGACTAGTGTTGAAATGATTTGTTACTAACTTCTGTATTTAAACCCAAGTAGAGTTATATTTTTGCCAAATCTCAGATGCCTAATTCAATTCAAATCAGGGATGATTTATTTGGGCCTTATATTTAGTAATGATTGGGTGCATGGAACATATAGATTAAATTCAGCAAGTGTTTTTTTTATATAACCACAGTGAAAGGTGAAGTAAATTTAGATGCAAAATTGGTATGACATCCAAACATACACTTGGTGATTAAATAAGAGCTGTTCTGCTACAGTGAGCCATGAGGTATGAAACACTGGCAGTGACTGAAGTGGCACTTATGTAACAGAAGTAAAATGTAAGTAGGGATACTCCCTCAAAGAATTCAAATGGGAGATACACAATGTGCATTCAGATACCAGCATTCTTTCTCTTCCCACAAGGCCTCTGCTCCATGTCCGTAAGGCAGAGCAAAAAGGTAGGATGGTAGTGAGTATTTCTTAGGCCCAGCAAAAACTGTTTTCTTCCTGTGGAGCAAAGGAAAGTAGAAGGGTAGATTTCACCGACATTAGGCTTCAGCTTAATTTTGGAAATGCCCTTGCTCCATTGAAATGCTCAGAATTCCCTGGTAGAGGATATTAAAATAGTGTCAAGAACTATGCAGAAATGAAATATAGGAAGATTAAAAAAGAGAAACTATAGTACACAAAAGAATAAAGCCAAGCCTTGTAAGGAATTATAATTAACAGTCCTGCTTGTCCTATCCTATCCTATCCTATCCTATCAGAGATGGTATTCAGCAGGTTCTGACCAATTCTGGAGAACCGGTAGCTGAAATTTTGAGTAGTTTGGAGAACCTGCAAATACCACCTCTGACTGGCCCCGTCCCCATCTATTTGCTGCCTCCTGAGTCCCAGCTGATCATCTGGATCTTCTTTTGTTGCCCTGCATGGGAAAACAGAGCTGGAAGGTAGCTTAGTGGGGTGGGGAGGGAATGGGATTTTGCAGCAATCTTCCCCCAGGAGTGGGGAAGGAATGGAGATTTTACAGCCTCCTTCCTCTGGAGTGGGGTGGGAATGGAGATTTTACAGTTTCCTTTCCCTGCCATGCCCACCAAGCCACGCCCACAGAACTGGTGGTAAAAAAAATTGAATCCCACCACTGTATCCTATCATCCTTGTACCATACCATACCATATATCATATCATATATCATTGTAAGTTATATAAGATATATGTCATATATCATTGCAAGAGTTGGAAAAGAATGGAGGTGTTTGTTACTTTTCAGTAAAGTCTATCTAAATGTCTTAAACATTTATATATTTTTGTTGTGATTGGAAGGATTGGTACTGTTAAGAAACTTTGAATCTGATGACTGTTAGATCGTGGATTGACGTCAGAACCAGGAAACGTTAATCTGTAGGGCAAGCCAGTTAATTAGCACGTTGCCTTAATGGGTATAAAAGGACACAGCTGAGCTGGTGCCTTTTGCCAGAAACAAAATGTCTATTTGAGTGAGGACGTTACTGCAAAGAGATCTCTGTTTGTTTGAATTTTGAAGGGGAATTCTAACCGTTTCTGCCAGTCGTTATCTTGTTATTTTCCTTCAGTTTGATTTGATTGTGAAACGGCTGCTTTGTGTTTGTTCGTTTGAATCTCCAAGAGGAGACATAACATATTTTTCTCTTAATCCTAGGATTCATCCTTACTTTTGCAATCTTCTGATAATGTGACTTTGAATGCACGCAATAGTGATGGAAATGTCACAGGCAGATTAAGCGTAGGTACGTGTAATATATTTTTCTTTAGTTTGGATTTTGAAAGTTTATATCCAAAGAAATGAATGTGTATCTTTTTATGATCCCGTATAATATCTGATATATATTTATGATCTTGTATGATATCTCATATAGATATGCCAATTGTCCTGGCTAGTCAAATACATGAAATAAAGAAAAAGAATTTTACATCATTATCAAAAAATGAACATATGAATAATTTGCCTTCATTTATAAATCTCTTCAGTGGTTTAGTTGCTGGAAAGATACTAATCTTCTATTTATGTAAATTATAAAAACATTGATTACATATAGATAAATTCATCATTAAAAATACATTCCTGTTTGGATGAAAGATTCTGTGTAAAGAGACAAGATGTTGCATATTAAACATTTCAAATTATATCAAATCTGGAATTCTAATTTAACTTACTTTGTATACTGTATATTCACAAAGAGCTATGCTTTTTTGCATGCTGATATCTGAAGTATTTTTCTTTCGATTTGGTTTATAACACTCTGCTTTTTCTGATGAAAGCAACCGGAAAGAGAACATAACCAGATGCTAATTTTGCACTGTAATTCACTGTATCGATTGATCAATGTAATGAGGCTTACTCACAAGTTACTGAGCATAAGATTACAAATTTAACATCCCAATTATATAGCTATATATTGTATCATTGAGGAAGTGTACTTAGGTATGAACAAAGAAAGTCCATCTTACAATGTTTTGTCTTTTTTAGATCCGGATATGGTACATTTTCATGGTCAACAATTTCAGATCAACTCTGTGAATCTCGATAAACCTCTATTTACTGTTCATGATAATGACACTGTAATTGGTACAGATAAACTTCGAGTCACAGGTTTGTTTGCAAGTCTAAAACTACAAAAAAATGTTATTTTGAAGATAAAGACTGTAATCTGAAATTGTATATATAAATAAGAGTAATTTGTTATATTAATGAATTTAAGAGAACATTGAATATTTTATTACTGATATTTTTAATTAAAATGTTACATTAAACATCTTCAAAATTGTGTTTTACATTGAGGTCTAAAATATTTATTTTGATTAATTGGTAATTATTTTTTTACTTGGAATTAATTTTTAACTAGGCAGCATCTTTTTTTTAAAAAAAAAAGCTAAACGTGGCCAGATCTGGTTAATCCTTAGATGGAAAACCACTAGCCACACTGGAACATCTCAAAATACTTCCCAGAACAAGGATATAGCAGAGCATTATGCTGTTGCCAAGAAAATTATGGAATGTGGACATAGAGTTATCAGTCAAAATAAGGCAACATTACTCAATTGAATATTGAAGTTGTAAAATCATTGATTTGGCTGATGAATGAAACGCCTCAATGAATTATTTGTACAATGTATTGAATGACGTATAAGATTTTTGGATCTGACAACACTAAACAATAGTTTTTCTTTCGCTTGGAAACTAGCTTCTATCTATGAACCAAGCAGATTTCTGAAAGTGAGATTTTTATCACCTTTGGTACCTTACTTCTAAAACTGTGTTTTCTTACTTGCAAATTGGTTTCTGGGGATTGAGGAAGAGTGGAGGAAATGCACCATTGTCAAATTACAGAGGCAATTCAAGAGGAAAAACCTCTTACAGTCTCTTAATAAGGGATCATATCACAGAGTGGTAGGCTGAAGTGAGCAATGAGTGAGCAAAGATACGGAACTGAATAGTTACAGCTGTCTGACTCAGTCCTTATGGTTTTCAGCTAAACAAGTTTACATATAGGTTAACATAGTTCCATGTTAGCCAACAGGTAGGTCAGGTCAATAGGACTGGCAGATGGGGAGGCCCTTTTACAAGAAGTCCTCAACTTATGACTATTTGTTTAACGGTACTTTAAAGTTATAGTGGCCTCAGGAAAAAAAATAACCTGCGACCTACACTTGTGCTTAACAACTGTTGCACCAACCTTGTAGCCATGTGATTACAATTGGGGTGCTTGGCAACCATCTCACTCTTAAGACCAGTTGCAATATTGTGCCATCATATGAATTTCTGGCCTTTTGTTTTGTCAGTCTTAGACAAAAAAATACCTATTGAGGAAGCTAGATTTAGTTAATGATCATTTTTTACAACTGCTGTAAAAAATTGTTGTCAACTCAACTTACAATGGCAATGACTTACAATGGAAATTTGATCCCAAATGTGCTTGTAAGTTAAGGACTATATATATAAGTTAAATAGCTATATATATATTGTTATGTCTTATATACATGTTGTACTCTGACAATAAAGGTAATAATAAATGTATATGTTGCTTGTATACTACACGTTACCCAGTGGGTAGATTGCTCCCAGTAAGGTGATCCCTCTAAGCAGGATTTTTTAGTGCCTGGTAACTTTTATATCCAACATTTCTTCTTCATATATCTTTAATTTTTAATTTTGGTTATGAGAGTATTTCATTTTGAATATATAGGTTTAACATCTTGTAAACATATGCTATTCTAATGCTTAGCAAAAGCTCCAAAGCCCAAAGTGTTACATTAGAATCCCAAATATTTAAACCAGCCCAAATATCAGAGTATTCAAAAAAGGAGGAATCTTAGATCCTTAGATCCTGTACCGTATTTTGTGGAATATAAGACACTCTGAAAAATAAGACACACCTAGCTTTTGGGGAGGAAAACAAGAAAAAAAAATCTGCCTCTGCCTCCCAGCAATTTGCCTCCTTGCAGCAAACAGCAAACAGTCTGTTCAACTTCAGCACAGCCTGATTAGCACAAGTAGCTGATTGTCAGTTGCCTCCTGGCGATCAGCTGTTTCAGGATGCAAGGATTGCCATCACCTATTGCCGCCTCTGTGCACCCCATTTTCAGCCTCCGCATCCTGTTTTCAGCCCTACACGCTCCGTTTTTGGCCTCTGTGTGTCCCATTTTCTGCCTGTTCCAGACAGCAGGGATCGGAATGGGCAGAAAACGGGGTGCATGGATGCCAAAAACAGGATGTGGAAGCCAAAAATGGAGTACACAGAGGTGGTCATAGGTGATGGTGATCCCTGTAGCCTGAAACAGCTGGTCGTTGGGAGGCCAATCCAACCGACAATCAGCTGTTTGTGCTAATCAGGCTGTGCTGAAGCTGACCGGGCTGTTGGCTGTTTGCTGCAAAGAGGGAAATTGCTGGGAGGCTGAGACTGAAGGGTGGGAGCCGGTGGGTGGGCGGAGCTTTGGCAACATCTTCTACGTAAGGCACACAGGCATTTCCACCCTCTTTTGGGGGGGTGGAAAAAGTGTGTCTTATACTCCAAAAAATACGGTACTCTGAATTAGCTTTGGATATTTTGTTGGGTGGTTATAAAAAAATTGTTCTCCACTAGTAATGCACTTCATTTGACATTTAAAAGTGACAATAATTTGGTTTTTTTTTCTGCTTCAGGTCCAGAAGGTGCCCTTTGTGAACATTCTGTAGAAACACCACTTGTTCAAGGTGTAGGAGATGATGCCAAAAATCTAACACTTAAGTAAGAATATCTCTCCAAAATGAGTAAACATTTATTATCGTTTCCATTTTTTTGCTATATTCCTTAATAATGCTAGACTTGTAGAGCAGTAAGATGACAAGTAGTCAGGAATACACTGAAGAAGAACCCAATAGGAAAAGGAGAACTAGGGAGAAACAAGGAATCAAATTCCATATTACCACATTAATTATTGAAAACTCATTTAAAATCTAAGTTAAAAACTACCTTTTATAAGCCTGTAATCCCTTAATTCAGGGTACAATTGGGGCAAATGGATGGGGCTGAGCATTTACTGGCCAAATACTTTTCCTGACACCACACTGAGTTCACAGCAGATATCTTTTCTTTGCACTCTAGGAGAGAATATCTTCTCCTAGGATCAAACTCTCAACCTTCCGAATGGCAGGCAAGCATTTTCATCACTAGGTCACCACACCACTCATTAATTTAAAAAAAAAAAACTGAATAGCTATGTAATATCACAGATAATATGAACAGCTCTCATTTAACCATATATACAAATTCCAAGAAAAAAATATCCACAATTTTGAGAACTTTATCATTGGCAAGAAGGGTCAATACAATTGTTGTTAAGATCACCTTCCACGTTCATATTGTATAGTAAGACAGCTAAAGAAGCAATGTGAGAACGCAGTGCCACAAGACACTGCTAAATTCTGAGGGAACACTTGCACTGAATTACAGAAAAGTACGCATACTGTGAAGGCATCCATGGTGCAAATGCTTTAAATATAGACAGTGGTTTATTAATCTCATACAGGTAGTTCATTTAGTGACCATTCAAAAGTTACAACAGTACTGAAAAAAGTGTTTTATGACCAGTCCTCACACTTACCATAGCTGCAGTATCCCCATGATCATGTGATCAGAATTCAGGTGCTTGACATATATATATGGTGGTTGTAATGTCCGAGGGTCATGTGATCATCATTTGCAACCAGCCCAGCCAAGTTCTGACTATCAAAGTCAATGAGGGAAGCCAAATTCACTTAATGACCATGTTTCCTTTAACAACTGCAGTAATTCCCTTAACAACAGTGGCAAAAAAGTCATAAAATTGGGCATGACTCCCTTAACAACTGTCTTGCTTAGCAACAGAATTGTGGTTGTACAGGTAAGTCAAAGATTACCTCTATTCCTTCTAGTGATCCTTATTTACTTAAAAAGTTAGAATGTATTGTTTTATACTTTAACTAAACCAAAACCTGATCTATGTGTGTGCATATATGCCCTATTAGGGAAGCCTTCAGATACTGTTGCTTTTCCTTATGTGTGCATTTTTGTCCTTTTCCCAGCCTTTTATTTTAGAAAATATATTCATTGTAAATAATTTTAAACTTCATTTAGGGCAAAACCTATCTCAACATACTAAAATATGTACATACTCTACATACAATGCTGAAATTAAGCTTTTTTTTCAAAAGAATAAAGTCAGATATCCAACCCTGAACAAACAGAGCCAGTGAATTGAGGACTGCTACAGAACCAGATGACTAGAACATTTTGTTGTAATGAAAACAAGTATTTTAAATGTGGTGTTATATTGAAACTAATCCTAAGTACAGAATGGGTGTGAATCAGAGGTGGTATTCAGCAGATTCTGACCAGTTCTGGAAAACCGGTAGTGGAAATTTTGAGTAGTTCAGAGAACTGGCAAATACCACCTCTGACTAGCCCCACCCCCATCTATTCTCTGCCTCCCGAGTCCCAGCTGATCGTCTGTGTCTTCTTTTGTTGTCCTGCACAGGATAACGGAGCTGGAAAGTAGGTTAGTGGGGTGCAGAGAGAATGGAGATTTTGCAGCAAACTTCTCCCAGGAGTGAGGAGGGAATAGAGATTTTACTTCTCCCAGGAGTGAGGAGGGAATGGAGATTTTACAGTATCCTTCCCCCGCCACACCACCAAGCCCACCAAGCCATGCCCACAGAACCAGTAATAAAAAAATTTGAATCCCACCACTGGTGTGAATGATTGTTTATAACTTCCTGTAAGATTTAAAGAAGTTTGTTCCATGAAACAGCAAGTATATATAAACAATGAATCTTCATTGTTGGCAACTGTGGGGACCCTGGATGAAGATACATCAGTATCATTTCTATTCCATAATTGGTCCATATTTTCTAAGAATCAAATGTCTATTTTTTTCCCTTCAGCTCAAGCTTGTTGCTTGTGCAGTAGTGCGAATAGCTGTAGTTCAGGTGTAGGATGAGGGTGAAGGTTCATTCTCCGAGCTTGTGAGTTGGTTTCTGAACATTTCATTACCAGGGTAAGTAACATCTTCAACGGAGTTTAGGGGATGTCGGTGTCAGTGTTCTTCTGTTTATAAGGACTTCAGGTGTGAGTGTGTCAACTGAGTCAGTGGTGAGATTCAAAATTTTTTACTACCGGTTCTTTGGGCATGGCTTGGTGGGCATGGCAGGGGAAGGATACTGTAAAATCTCCAGTCAGAGGTAGTATTTGCTGGTTCTCCGAACTGCTCAAAATTTCCGCTACCGATTCTCCAGAAATGGTCAGAACCTGCTGAATACCACCTCTGAACTGAGCGTATTGTGATGGGTCAGCTGTGAATCATCAGTGATGGGTCTTGTGATAAGGAGATTACATCAAGTCAGGGTCATTGGGAGGTGAATTGCTGGTGGTGGGGGGTTGCGTGGGTTGGTTGAGGGTTGGTACTGTCTCTGGTTGGCTCTGCGGTTGCTTGTTGTTTGCCAATTGAAAAAAAAATAGTGCTATCTTGAAAAATTGTTCCATTCAGACAAAACATCCATTCGTTTTTGTTAACGTTCCTGTATTAAAAAGCAAATCAAATTGGTACATAAAAGCAAGTCATCTCTACAAATTCAAAGGTTGTGTTATTTTCTTAAACTATATGCAAGGTATTAACTCTCCCATAGAAATCCATTGGGCAGAAGCTGGATTGTGCACAACTTCATTGCACTTAAGTTTTCAAGCAACTTAGAAAGCATATCAAAAGTTTTGCGGTTCTCTTCTGGCATCTTGTGGCATTACATGTTGTAATGACTATTGTCTAAATGATTTAAAAAAAAATAACGAATAGCTTTACTGAGGTTTATAGGTTTGTGAATTAATTTGTGGGGTAGGTTTTAAAAGATTAGTAATTACTTTAGTGCGACAGACATCAAATGCAAGTAGTAAAATTCCTGCCGTTATTTACATAGTTTGTCAAATCTGTAAAATGATGTAAAGTAAATGCTGCAATTTGTATCATTTGCATAATAACATTAACACGGCTGATGTACTTTCCAATTTAATGGAAAATTGGAATAACTGATTTTTAGCGCTAGCTACTCAAAGAGAGGCTTTCACTGCTTCCAAATATACAGTATATGGAAGTCTACAGAGGCTGCACCTCTTGTCTCATTATAGCAAATTATGTAATTTGAGTCTAGTTTCTAAAAACGGATGTTTGACCCTTTGCAATCATGGAGTTACTCAAGGCAAATGATTATGCTGCCATGCTACAGACTAGCTGGTTGTGGAATTCTGGGAACTGAAATCCACACATCTAAAAGTTGCTCAGATTGAGAATTGCTGCTGTACACAGAAGATGATTCAGTCTCCCATAGATGAGGTTGCAGTACTTTCTAGGAATTAATTCTCCTAGGAAAATTAATGTTGAGATTATAATTTTACCATAAGAATTTAAGATGGCAGGATGGCATCACATTGGGGAAAATCTCCCTCCAGAAAACATGATTATAAAACCCAGTTATTGTTTGAAGAGACATGCATCTTTTGAAATAGAAGATATGTTTTTATAATATTAAGATAACTCTTCTTATGATTGATTTTAGACTTGAATCACCAACCCGATCTCTCACCATGAATGCTCCAAGAGGAATTCACATCCAAGCAGAAAATGGGGATCTTATTGGATTGTCTCATTTGGATATTGCATTCCATAGTACCAATGAGATGGTGAGATGTTAAAGATTTATTTAACATCAATAAATGTTCTATTTACAGTTGGTATTCAAGGGGAGTGATTGCTACATGCATCAAACTATCAGTAGTTTGATTCAAGGTCAGTAGACTACTACTGACCTTGAAAAGTTCAGATTTCTGACAAAGGTTAAAATTTGGAACATATTTCTTTGGGTTAACTGAAGGGTCAAGTTGATATACTTTCCTGGTTTGGGGCACCAGCTAAAGGAGATTACGTCAACAATTTGATAGTGGTTTCCCAGGCTATATATAAAACATGATTTTAGCTCATTAAGACATATTGAATAATGTAGAGGAGACTTTGAACTTTCATTTGCAAGCTCATAGTAAAGCTTCCATTAAATTGCTCAGTAATGAATCAAAGGTAAGAGTGGGTCCGTTCTATCAGTGGTGTTTGAAGATTTCTCTCTCCTTTTTAGACTGAGGTTGTTACTGGGGGTATATTTGAAAACAGTTGGATATTTCTACCTGGTAAATATTGTAACAACAAGAGTTCTCTTTGTTAACAGTACAGCTACAAAGTTGATTTGTGTGCTTTTTCTTTGCAGATCTTTGATGCTCAAAATTTGCTACTGCCAAATTTGCTTCAAGGAACAAATGGAGAATCCGAGACATCTAAAAGACTTTATGAAATTTGTGCTTGCCCAGATGGAAGGTTATATTTATCGGTGGCTGATACAGTTTCTACTTGCTTAAAATACAGTCGTGATTGTCAATAAAGCACCAGAACACAACTGGATTTTCCTTGGCATTCTTGCTTGGTTTATAAAACCACCAAATGGAAGATTTGGATATTGTAATTTAGTTGTTTGGAAAACAAGACTGGCTTTAAGTTTTATCCAGCAGTGGGATCCTGCCTGTTCCACTACCAGTTTGGTGATCACGCATGCACCTAATGCACGCACACAGCTTTCCACATACCAATTGAGGCCTGCAGCACCAATCATCTGAGGTTAAAGAGGAGAAAAGTGCAGGAGTGAGTGGGAGGACCCTGCACTTTTCTGTTCTTTCTCTTCTCAGTTTGTGATAAAAATCAACCATTCAGGTATTCAGACAACTGAATACAGGAGACGTGAACAATGTATAAGAGCTTTATTATGAAGTTTTGCAAAAGGGAATTCTGCCCTAAGGCAGAAAACATTCCCCACAGGAGGGCTGGGGTTTATAGCTAGGTTCAGATATGCAGACTCTGCCCCTTTCCTGGGTTCACAATCCATCCAAGCTATGTATCTCCCTAGGCAACCCCCCCTATTATTGTAACATACCATCTGTTTCCTTGTCCTATTTACCCGTTTCCATTTCCAGTAATCTCCATCATTAATATGACACTGGTGGTGTCATATTAATGGTTATTAATATAGGTTATTACAGGTTATTAATATAACCTGCCAAATATGTAAACTTTATACAAAATAATAGAGAATTCTTACACAATAGTCCAGTAAATTATCTTAGATTAACAAAGAGGTTAAAAATGGCATTACCATTGCTTTATATTTTCAAAGGTATAATTTTACATATCACACAGCTGATTAGAGGCTTTTTTCCCTCCTCTTAGCTGATGTAGGAAGCTTTTTTTTTTTTCCTACCGGTTCGGGTGAACCGGTGTGAACCGATAGCATACCACCATTGGTTTTTATCAGATATCAGGTGGATAAACATGATTTGTCATTTGTAGCTGGAACGCCTTCTTTCTCTTCGTCTTAAGTTTCTTGATTATATTAGAATAGCAATTTACTGCCAAAATCTACAGCTATTTTTCTGGGCATCGTTTCAAGACCTTCCTCATTTATCAAGTTTTAACAGAAATGTGAAGAAGGAATTTTAATCAATCTGCATATTTTGGCAACCTGCCAAGGGAACTCCAAAATGTCTGAACATCTCAATAATCCAAACAAAGAAGGTTTCAATTTAAAAAGGATTTCCCAAAGCTGTTATTTATGTTGTGTATATCGTGACTTTCTGCTCATTGGGCAGTAGGATTAGGCTAGAAGCCCTGTGTATTCTCATAACACTATTTTTCTTTTAAGTTTCTTCACCTTCACTCAACCCAAACCCTATTAATAAGCATAATGCTCTTTGAGTTATCCTCTAGTAGAGTTATACCAAGTGCTAGGAAACAAATCTGAAAAATCTTTTCACCTACATTTCAGAGGTGGTATCCAGCAGGTTCTGACCAGTTCTGGAAAACCGGTAGTGGAAATTTTGAGTAGTTTGGAGAACCAGCAAATACCACCTCTGACTGGCCTACCCCCATCTATTCCCTGCCTCCCGAGTCCCAGCTGATCATCTGGGTCTTCTTTTGTTGCCCTGCACAGGATAATGGAGCTGGAAAGCAGGTTAGTGGGGTGGGGAGGGAATGGGATTTTGCAGTAACCTTCCCCAGGAGTGGGGTGGGAGTGGAGATTTTATAGTATCCTTCCCCTGCCATGCCCACCAAGCTACACTATGCCCACCAAGCCAGACCCACAGAACCGGTAGTAAAAAATACTGAATCCCACCATTGCTACATTTGGGACTAAGTTAGGAAACAGCGTGGGGGAAACCTGCCAAGGTAGCTACTCTGAAATTATTCCTTGGTTAGATTTGTTAATCATTTCATAGCTACCCCCAAACTGGTAAGAAAAAATAGGCATAGGAACGTAGAGTGGAGCAGATGAGCTGTTCCTGGGGAAAGTAGCCTCCACATTTTTCCTATGTTGTGTTTCAGCCTTTGTGCTCAGCCCCAAAGCCTGGTTGTGGGAGCTCTGATGACTGTGGGTTTTTCTCTGTTGCTGCTTAATGCCTCTAATGTCAGTTTGTAATAAATCCTACCTCATCCTCAATTTGCTCTCCTAGTTTCCATTGAAAATCTACAGGAAACCTCTGGTTTCAGTATAGGTGAAATATCACCAATATGCTGATAAAATTCAGGCACAGATCTCTGCCTCAGGATTGTTCGGATGATGCTCTTTTCCAGTGCCTGGAAGCTGTGAGACTCTGGAAGGGGAAAAAAGGCTTCAAGGCAAACTATCAGGCTCCAAAAACCAAGAAAGACACCTTGCTATTCTTCTAAGCCAGTGGTGTCAAACTGGCGGCCCATGGGCCAGATGCATCACACCAGAGGTGGTATTCAGCAGGCTCTGACCAGTTCTGGAGAACTGGTATCTGAAATTTTGTGTAGTTCGGAGAACTGGCAAATCCCACCTCTGACTGGCCCTGCCCCCATCTATTCTCTGCCTCCTGAGTCCCAGCTGATCATCTGGGTCTTCTTTTGTTGCCCTGCATGGAGAACGGAGCTGTAAAGCAGGTTACTGGGGTGGGGAGAGAATGGGATTTTGCAGTATCCTTCCCCTGCCATGTCCACCAAGCCACACCCACCAAGCCACACTATGCCCAACAAGCCACGCCCACAGAACCAGTAGTAAAAAAAATTTGAATACCACACTTCATGCCATGCAGGCCATGTCCACCCCAGCTCCATGAATGGGGAAAAAGTCATAAAATGTCACATGACGGCAATGTGACGCTGCATGTTTGACACCCATGTTCCCAGCCGACCAGGGCTCTCCAACCTTGGCTACTTTAAGTCTGGAGGTTAGGCTTTGCTGGCTGGGGAATTATGAGAGCTGAAGTCCTCCAGGCTTAAAGTAGCCAAGGTTGGAGACCCATGTTCTAAGCAGATGTCTTTATTGTTCCTTAGCTATAGGCAGAAATCTTGCCAAACTAAAGCAGACTACTTGCACCATAAAACATAAGGGAACCATTAGGGAGGAGCCATCTTCCCCCACTTTCTCTCACAAAACTAACTCTAAACTGTGGTGTCTCTTGCTCCTCTGGAATGCAATCTCTCCCTCCTGGGAATCTGAACCATAACCCATAAGCCTAACAGGGTGGCAGTGGGTTTTAGTGCATGCACACATACACCCCCCCCAAAAAAAAACCTTCTGAAAGGGGTAACATTTCCACAGACAGAATGGTGTGAAATGTGGCGTCCTTATGGACTCATAGCTGTGGCTTAAGCAGAAGGTGGCACATTGGCCAGGAGACTTAATTCATAAATCCATTTGATACACCAATTATATTCCTTTATTGAAAAGCACTGCTCAGTCACACATGCTTAAATCACTATCCATTTGCACCATTAGTTGGGCTATTACAACATGGTCTATGCCGCCCTTGAAAAATATTTGAGTGCTTCAAATGTTCCTGAATGTGGTATAGAATTTTGGGCACAACACATAATGCCCATGTAATATTACTGCTATATGTGTTGCACTGGTTTCCAGGTGCAATTCAAGATGTCAGTTGTCATCTTTATAGCCCCACATAGCCCAGGCCCAAATAAATTGTGGGAATGCTTGCCTATAGTGACTTATGTCTATCCCATCAGATTTGACAGGTACACTTCAGGTCCCTTCTGGAAAGGAACGTAATTTGATGGGACCCAAGAGGAATGCTTTTTCTGCCTATCTTCCTCCTAGACTTTCACAATAACCTAAACACTTTGGTTCTTCAAATACTGGGGCCTGGTATGGGCGTTTTGTTTTTATGCTGGTACGGAAAAGGATGCTCAACTATGTTTGTATAGATTGTTTCTGCTATTTTACACTCTGTGTACGTATACTGCCTGGTTAACGATTGCTACATGAATTTATTTGGTTTCTTGCATGCATGAAAGAATAAATGAACAGAAAACAAAAACAAACTTCACAAAAGTATGGGAATCAAGGTGCTAAAATAAAGGGCAATTCTAAGATATGACCCATTTTCTCAAAAGCAAGAGACATGGTAATTTTTCCTTGAGCGAATCAACTAAATGGGCTTTCCATCCACAGTAGTTCTAATACAAAAGTTTTAACTCAGCAAAAGTGGTAAACAGGGATGGGTTTTTTTGTTTTTTGTTTGTTTTGCTATCCTAACTCATCGACTTTCAATTTTTGGAAGCTCAAATTGACTCCCCTCCCTATTTCAAACCCATGAATTACAGTCTGGTGCTCATTCAGGAGGCCCCTTCCAGTATACTGAAAACTAAGGCACCATTTGTAAATTGCAATTTTCTTCTCACAAAAGCAAAACAAAAAAATAATTAAAAGTGTTGAGGTGAAGGGTTGGAAGATGTGTTCTCTCCTGAGCACTACTGGTAAAACAAATGATTTAAAAACCAACACACACAGTTTTTTGAGTTTTATTATTAAATTTTAAGTTATGGCACTTAGCAGCGGAAATAATCACATGGCTTTGCAATCAAAGCCTTAAAGATTTCAAAGCCTACAATTTACTGAGCTATTTTCCAAATACTTTTTTACATTTGTTTCAAGAGCTACCATTTTTTTCTTCCGTATTGCAATTATTATTTTCTCTATAATCATTTTTTTTGCAAATTACATTTTTAAGTGAAATGATAGTTTCAGTGTACTAATCAGTGAAATTTACAACCATTATATAATTGAATACAATACTAACTACAACAGGTTTATTGATACAAGTTTGTTTTACAAATATTTAATAATTTACATGGCATTATCAAAAGTATAACAATTTATAAAAGAAACCGTATGAACTAAAAAACTCAAATTTCTTTATGTGCCACCATGTGAGACAAAATAAAAAAGCTTAACATTGCAGCACCATTTAAAATGTATTTTAAAAAAATACCCCACTGAATACCAAAATACCTTAATTTTTATATTATTTCTAATGGTGACTCGTTAAAAAAAATAAATAAAACACAAAGCTAAATCAAGGCAAGATCTGAAAGATGGTTTGGTGTGCAG